TACTCAAAACTTTTATAGTAATTTTAAAAAACTTTCTTAACAAAGTTAGTAAAATAAAAGTTAAAAAATATATTTTATTTAGAAAGTATATTTTTAAAATTAATATTTAAAGTTTTATTTAAAATTAAATATAAAGACAAGCAAATTTGCTTGCTAGACAATCTAAAGGATAATATCATTAAGAAATAAATCAGATACTATATCAAAATAGAAAAGTGAAAAGCTTCATAAATTGTGTTTGACTATAGAAGAAAAAGAATTTGTTTTAATATTAGATATAATTTTTAAAACACTAATAATATATATATATATGTTAGTAAAATTAAAAATCTTAAAATTATACCCAAATTCTAAATATAATAAATTAGTACAAATCCCAAATTTCAAAGTCTGAATTCTATTCCAAATATAATAAAATTTATTCTAAATCCTAATTTCAAATTTCAAATTCCAAATTCTAATAGTTTTGCTAACAAGTATAATTATGTAACAAAAAGATTAGAATCACTCTTATTATAGTAAAATAATTAGGCTATAAAATTTTCTTCATTATATCAAAAGTCTATTAGTAAATTCATTATATCGAGAATAGATAGTTCACTATAACAAGAGTGATCATATTATACTAGTTTAATACTACTAGTAATCTGCATAATATAGAGTATATTATTTTACTAATTATTATTATTTTTTAAGGTTTGTAAAACAAATAGTTAATCTTTTAAAACTATTTGAAGAAATTATAAAGCATATTTGTAGATTGAAGTATCCTACTTTAAATCTTATATATCCTTATATATATATTCTAAAAAATAAATTTGTATTAATAAGTGAAAAAAGAGAATTATTAGAATCTTGAATTAATCTTATTTATAGTTCAGAAGATCTAGATACTAATGATGATTTAAGTCTTAGCAGTGATAATAAAGCTAATATACTATTAGCAAGAAATTATTAACAATAGCAATATGTATACCAAAATATATATGACTAGAAAAATTAAGTTAGTCATAAAAAAAATAAAAAAATAAAAAAAAAGACTATTTCTAAGTTAAGTGATTCTAATACTATAGAATATTTATCATTTATAAACTGCTCTAGATTTTTAAAAAAAGAATAAGCTACAATTTTTATATCTTTTGATGAATTATAGAGCTTATTTAATGAAATAGGCTTGTAGGCTTTCTTTTTAGATATGTATTACTTTTAGACAATTATTTTATATACTTTTATAGATATAATTAATTTACAGACAGCTTATAAATTAATTGTATCTATAAAAGTCTGTAAATTAATTATCTATAAAATAAGATATCTATAAATAATTTTCTATAAATTAATATATACCCTTTACTTTTAGATCTACGAGTATTAAAGTTACTTTTATTTGCTACTATTCAAGAACAAAAAGAAACTGAAGACCAAATTTACATAGAATTATTATTACTAGAAACTCAACTAACTATTTCAAATAATAATGATAAGATAAAAAGAAATTCAATAATTACTAATGAAGATCCTTTAAATGTTGAACTATGAGAATTATATTCAATATCTGATTAAGCTATTACTAAAGATAAATTAACTTGTTATATAAAAGAATTAATTGCTTACAAAAATCAAGATTTGAGAACATAATAAGAAAATAGATATATAATTTTCTTATTTTTTAGCCAACTTTCCTGTAAGTACTTCTCTATTTCTACTATATCAGTTCTATCAGAATATTTATTTTCTAATGTGAATACATGTATTTTAGCTAGAAGGCCTTATCTTAACTCTAATCTAGTTGATAATATATTATTTTTAAAAAGAAATTCTAAATATATTTTTATGTTTCTATTTGAAAATATATAATTTTAAAATCTAGTATAATAGATAATACTAAAGTATGAAAAACATATACTTAGCTTAATAAATAATAAGTATATTCTAATCTTTTACAGTTCTAAGTATAACATTATAAGAGTTTTGGTTTAAGTAAATAAGTTGCTGTTTAGATAAAATATACTCTATATAAAATTCAAAGTTAATAGCTTTCGTTATGAAGAAAGAACATACTATAATTTCATATAAAGCTAAATATATATACAGATATTTTTTTGGCTAATTAGACAATATATTATTACATTAAATCTAAAAAAAATTAAGAATATAATTTATGCAATATATAGATCTATATATAAATATACCTAGCTTTAACAGACTTCTAAATCTAAATATAATTATTAAATCTAAATATAATAATTAAATTCAGATTTAATAATTAAATTCAGATTTAATGATTAAATTCAGATTTAATAATTATATTCAGATTTAAGAGATTAAATCTGAATTTAAGTATTTATTCTATACTAGACTAACAAGTAGTAGTTAAAGATCAAAAAAGGTATGATTTTCAAAGAGTTGAGCAATAACAAATTAGATATAATTAGGCATAGTCAGTATTAGTATTAGACATATATCTAATAATTTAAAAAAATATTAGATATTTAAAATTTTATATGTTTAATTATTTTCAAAATTATTAGACATATATTCAATGCCAATACTGTGTATAGTAATTTTATTAAGATTTTATTAGTAGATCAAGTTTTTTAAATAATATCACTTGATTTTTTTAATAGCAATAGTTATCTAGTATAAATATACTAGGAGAAAAGTTTATTTTATACAATATGCTTATGATATATGAAAAGAAAATTTAAACTAATTTAATAAAAATTATATATATTTGTTATAACTATATTTTTTATAATTATAATTTTTTCAGCTAAAGTAATTATAACAGTCTAAATCCTGTTTAATAATAACAAATATTTCTCTCTAAATTTGAGATGTATTTAAAAATAGTACTTAAAATAAAATTTAACAAATTATAGTTTTATAACAACTTGATATCATACTAATAGAGCAATCTTGTATCTCAAAATTTTTTATTTATTTCTAAAATCTCTTGCAAAATAGAAAATTGTATGTAGTGTATCTTTGTTTAAGTTTACAACTCCTATTTCAATTGTAATCACAAAAAATTAGAATAATTGTTTATTATAGATCAAGATCTGTAGATAATGAATCATATATATATTACTAATTCCTTTTTTTTTAAAGAATAAAATCTTGTTTTAGTTCCTTTATTGATATATAATATATATAATATATTTTTATAATAAGATAAAGATTATATTATACAAAACTTAAAACTAGAGCTACTTTACTCTTAACCTAGACTCTGCTAAGAAAAGGTTACAAAACTTTATCTAGTCAATATAACTAGCTATTGTATTATATTAGTTAAAATTAAAAATATTATTCAAATATTATATATAATAAGATAGAATAATAGCAGGCTAATTATATAGGCTAATTTGGTTTGATTTCAAAATTAGTTAATTATAACAAAGAATAATATTGTTAAAATTTGTATACAAAGTAAGTTGTTATAAAAATAACTTTTTAAACTTATTTTAAATCTATAATTAAGTATTTAGAATTGGAACTCTTCCCACAGATCATTTGGTCACAAAATCGAGCTAAAGGTCACTACATAGAAAAACTACTAAACTCACTAATTAATACTCTTTAGTATACTAAGAAAAGAGATACAGAAGGCAAAACTACATATAAAGAAATAAAAGAGTAGAAAAATCTGAATTTAAAAAATGATTTAGAAGAAGTTTAGACAAAAATTATTATGAAGAAAACTTTTTTGCGAACAAAACTAGGAATCTCAAAATACCCTGAAATGCAGATTATTTATGTAATACAAATATATGCAAAGCAGATAAATAAATAAATACATTGCTAAAATATATATCACATGCTAAAAAGCAGAGGAAAATTACACAAGACTAGAACTGGATAGTTCACAGGCAAACTGGGTAAGCTTATAGAAAATTTCAAAAAAAATGAAGTCATTTTCAGAAATAGCATTCGAAAAATCTAATTAAAAAGAGAGTAATCAACAAACAAAATATAGAGTATAGACAGAGCTAGCAACTACAGATCCAAATTAGACAGATATGTGGAACAGAAAGAAAGCAATCAGTCTCGTAGAAGTAGTAACTAAAGAGTATAGAAAAGAAATAATAGCAAAAGGCAGCAGATCAGTAATGGGTCTAGAAGATCACATAGATAAGATAATTGCAGAAATATTAGAAGTAGATAGTGATATAGTAATAGTGGTAAGAGAATAGAGAAAAGTAATAGAAAGAGCAGCAATAACAGAAAGAATCGATAAAGTAATGAGCATACTAGGTCAAGAAGTCAAGTAAAAATGGTAGCAAATGATAAATTAAGAGTACAAGAAAGCAAGTTAGATATAGAGATAATATATCAATCAGATTCAAGTAGTATAACTAGTAATATAACAAACTCAAAAATAGAAGTAGAAGAAGCCTAATTATCAGAAGACATGAGAACTGAAGAATGACCAAGTTAAATGAAAGAAGTTCAAGAGACTAAAGAAGAAGAAAATAATACAACATATAAAAAACAATAATACATTACTACAGAAGAATCAGAAGATAATCTATTCCCTGCAGAATCAGACTCGTTATTAGAAAAAAGTATTTGGGTACTAAACAAAGATAGGTGTAAAAGAAAAGGAACAATAAGCGCTAAAGTAGCAGCTATTAAATTATTAGGAAACAATAAAAAACACAGAGAAAGATCACTCAAATAGTTAATAGAAAGAAAAGTGTATTTGAAAGAAATTACAGAAAAGTTTGAACATAGTAATCTCTGATGTATAGTGACCTTTGATTGTATTAAAGACTACGAAGAGGCAAAGAAAAAGTTAGAAAACAAGAAAAAAGAATATGAACAAGCCAATCTCCTTCTAGAGGGAAATGAAGAACAAGAAGAACTGAATAAAATAGCAGGAAATCAAGACACAAGAAACTCAGCTTAAGAAGGCTAAGAAACAAAAAAGAAATGAAAAGCATAAGCAGAAAAAGAACTCAAAGAAGTTTTCATAAAAAAAGGAGAGAAAGTAGAAACCAATATACATGAGTAAAATCATCCTAAAAAGAAAAAAACTACAATATACTAAGCTAGTAAGAACCTAAACTTATTAAAAGATGACAACAAAATTACAGTTTGGGATCTGCTAGTTTGAGCTAGAAGAACACAGGTTTTTGAAATAGTTTGCTTTCTGGGAAGAGTAGAACATATCAAAATGATCAAAAGTGCTTCAGACAAAACAAGAGCAGAAGTAGATCTTAAAACAGGCATCTTTGATAAAAAGAAAATAAATGAGATCTGGTGTCTGCTATTTGTGAATGAAATACTGGTAAGAATATTAACAGGTACAAACAACTTCTTCTTGCTTCGCACAAGAAAAGATTTAGCAAAAGGTTACTAGACTTATCAGAAAATATGAATGAAGTACTCCTGTAGAGACAAATAAAAAGATCAGAAGCTAAAGTGATACATATCTTCAAGAACTCTAACAACAACAACATGAGAAGTGCAACAGTTTACTTTGAAAAGGAAGAAGACATATTAAATTATTCCAAATTCTTACTATCATATTATGATAATAAGTTAAGATAGACAAATTCAATAAGATATGAAGCAAATGCAGAAAACGGAAAAGCTACAGACTATGAAGAGCTAGAAGCTTATAGAATAAGTAGTACAAAAAGCTTCAGAATAAGGAAAAATACTGAACAAGACCAAAAAACTTCTAGAAGACTCATACTAAGCAAAGAAGAAATATTAAACAGTATAGAGCAAATAGAAAAAACTTCACAGACAAGTGTATACTTAGAAAAAAAGAGAAGAAAAATACGAGAAGGCAAAAAGAAAGAAGTTAACTATGAAGCATTCAGCAATATACTAGCATCCCAAAAACAGATTACAGACTCAGAAAATGTTTATGATTACATGCTACAACTCATAAGAAGTCTTGAAGAAAAAATTCAACATATAAAGTGAGAAGCTCCAAATCGCTCCTAACAGGCATACTAGTTAAATTAATGGAAATAGACAGTGGAGCTAACTGTCTCAATATAGGGAATCCTGCTGAAAGGAAGGAAAAAAGAGTTGCAGTAGAGGATTTCTAAACGTTAAAAGTAGCATTACATAATATTAATAGGATAAAAGAAAACTTCATGAAATTAGAGTTATTATTGAACTGGGCAAGCAAAGAAAATGTTGATATAATTAGAATCAACGAAACAAACACAACAGGTAGACAAAACAATTTTAATTTAAAGAAACAAGATAATTATATGAGTATATAGTCTAATGCAGAAGAAAATAAGAAGAAAAGTTCAGGCGTTAGTCTAATAATCTGTAAAAAATAGGAAAAACACCTAAGCTAAGTGAAAAGAAGAAACATATATTATTTAGAAGCACTTTTTGTATTCAAAAAACATAAAGTACTAGTCTTAGTAATATATATATCACATAATGATTCTAAGATTAGAAAAGATATTCAGCAACAGGTCATTAAATGAACATTTGAATGTTAAAGTAAAGGAAAAGCTACAAAAGTTATAATTCTAGAAGACTTTAATGATATTTGATGTAGA